TAAAAACTAAACACGGAACTGATTTTTGTTTACTTTTTAAAAATATATATGTTTGTATGTTATATATGTTTCAGAAAACTTATTTGAAAAAAAAACTCTTCATCCATGCATTATATTTTAGGCATATATCAAAATGCGCATTTATGAAAATGGATATAGCCTGAAAAGAGAGTTTAAGACAATGAAGAATGCTTGGATGCGCGTGTAAGAAACTAGATCATGACTCAAAATGCGTTTCAAAGAAAATAGACGAAGCTAGAAATGCGTGTTTTAAAAAAAATAAAAATCTTTGATAATGTTTATCCGACATTTACAAATAAAATAACTTTCATTAAAAACGAAAATAATTGCATTGAACGACTCATTCGTGGGGAAAAACTAATAACAGAAGGAAAGAGAAATGCATTGTTAACTCTTTTTTTACATTTTATTCTTTATAATTTTTATTGTATTTCTTATTAAAATATTCATACAAATATTAAGCATCCAAAATATACTAGTAATTTTAGATCTTTGAAATATTAAGAGGAAAAGATAGCTTACTTATTATTTAAATGAATCTCCTATATTAAAAATATAATGAATTATTTTATCGACAAAACTATTACATAACATAAATTATAAACTATAACATAAGTTATTTTATCTACTTTTATCTACAAAACAATGTTACAGATTATATGTGAATGAATTTTCATCGACATAAACTAATGATATCGTCGCAAACCCTGTAATGTATGGAATGCTAGATGCTTAATACATCCTTAATAATACTTAATACCCCCTGTTATGTTCGATGCTTAATACATTAGATAATTTATATTAATTTTATAACACCGCTAACAGCTGAGCAATTTATATTTTTGATAATTCGTTTAGAAAATATGAACATGATAATGCATTTTTGATAATGTGAATTTTGATGAAGCAAATTTTTTTTAAAATTTTTTAGACCAAATTTTTAACATCAATACAAAGTTATAAAAAGCAATGTCCAGTAAGCCCTGCGTATCTTAAATTGTGTCTATTTTTTTAAATATGTATTACAAACTGTCAGTTTTTCCAAACACGCATTTCAAGCTTTTCTATCTTTTTCAATACGCATTTTTAGCTGTGCGTTTCAACGCGCATTTCAAGTTAAGTCCATTTTCTCAAACAGGCAACTTTAGCTATTCTCAAATTAAAATGTTCACCGAAGTATTATTTGAAAGAAGTATGGTATTGTTACCAGGAAAAATTATATCCATTATCTCAAAAAATCAACCAGTATTGAAATTTAAAAATGTTGCTGGCTAAAAAAAATTTTTTAAAAAAAAGTAAGAGAGAAGAAGAATTAGCCATATTTACAGTATTCGCGGATAAAAATATTCGAGTAAAACTACCGCACAATATGCTAATGACGTTTCTGGTAAAAAAAATTCTATATATATACGGTATTTAAACCATTCATTTAATAATTTTTCAGTTTGTATGGTAACTGTTTACAGGAAAACCTGGTCTCTATAATTACAGTCTTTAGCACCACACAGTTAGAAAAAAATACAAAACTAAAAAGTAAACTTAACCGAATATATGGTTTATTTGCCATGCTTTAAGATATCATGATAAAATCACCAAATTTTATCACATTTCACATTATCATATCATATCAAAATCATATATATTTTATTGTTGATTTTATCAAAATCATTACCAAAGCACTTCGATAAAAATGCCTCGAGCCTTCCCCTCGAGCCAAAAACACGGTAAATTTTACCATATCCTGGTAATTTTGACCACATTTCTTTCTCAGCGTAAATGTTGGTTCATTGAAAGATATTTTCTTTTAGTTCCATCATAGAAATTCGAGTGAGTTATTTATTTAGATCAGTTACTGACGATTCTTTATATTACATGCAGTCATATTATTACATAAACAATATTGCATCTCTGATCCAATTTGATTACATATTATGGTTGATTGATTACGTATTATTTGATTACATATCCAATTTGATTACATATATTCTCCAGACATTGATACTGATTGTTCTTTCATTAATCCACATTTACAATTTAATATTTTTTACAAAAGAATTATAGGGTTTTTAGTAATTTTATAACAAACTGTAATAATTTCATTTTATAACCATCGTTGAACAGGTCAAACCAATTTTGAGACTTTGAGTTTCACAGCTACCAAAGTTCAACTCCGTAACCTAGTAACTTTGAACCAATTCCAGAAGACAGTGCTTGGATTTGCTTGGATCCAGTATCGGGAGAAATTTGCCTTCCTGGACGACTTTTTGATGGAGCTAACGCACATTTACACTACATGGAGAGAAAAACCACAAAAAACCTCCTATGGTTAGTCTGACGGAAAGGGACTTTAAACCATTATCCGTCTACCACTGAGATTATTTTACGTCAGCACTGTGGTTGGTGCGAGCGGGGTGTGTGATTGGTATCGACCATCCATCGGTGGGATTCGAACCCGGGCTCTATACGAAGGCTCTATACCCTGAGACATCACGGTTCAACTGTGACAATTAATGAATAAAAGATATTTAAATATGCTAATTTTGTTTTGTTAATAATTTTGATTGTCAAAGACGCAGATTAAAAACTAGCCCTTACTAAGTAAATATAATAAAACACCTCACTATTTTAAGGACATTTACATGTTTTACAGAATTCATATTTAATCTGATGGGAAATCCAATCTTGAGTAAAAAAAGCCAAACTAATTAGATTTTTTAACTTAGAGTACGCAAAGACTGCACTCTTTAGAGCTATGGTTTGATAAAAATACCCTTTTTTTAGAATTTTCAATTCATGTTTTTTCTTTTTAATTATAAGTAAAATAGTTCCTATTTTTATAAGTTTAATAATAAAGTTTTAAGCACTAGCGTAAAATTACAAAACTTGTGAGTGAATAAAAAAGCCATTTAAGTTAATCCGCAAAAAGTCATTTTTGTTCGTCAAAAATTTGAATTGAATTGAAAACTATTAAGGAAATTAATACAAAATATTCGTGATTAATGAGAATCGAAAAATTCGTGACAGCTTGATAAACCGCGAAAACCGAACAATCGCTTAGCACGCAGACAAGAGGTGTATTTGAACTGATGCATTTAAATTTTCAATTCGTTAGTGGTTCAAGTAATTTTATTTCATAGTATGTTTCACTTACTATGAAATGCATTTCATTGTAAGACCAAACAAAAGTTGAAAATGATTTTCGAACTGTCTAAATAAATAAATCATGTAACAACTACTATTTAGTTAATTAAGAAGTGAATATTAAAAAAGAGCTTGAACATTAAAATTACATTGGATTGTGCAATAAATTAATTCGATATTTAATTTCAAATAAATTTTTTCAATAACAATCAATAAATAGTTTCAAAAAACTTCTACTTCATCTCATAAATATAAATAAAATGTCTTTCACTAAATCATAAAAATAATTACAATAAACTCGCTTGTGAAGAAACACTAACGATAGGAAGGAAGAAAAAAACCATTGTTAACTTTTCTTCATATTTGACTCTTTATAAATTTTACCGTTTTTCTTATTAGTATTAATAAAAATATTACATAAAACGATAGCTTATTTATTATTTAAATGACTCACCTGTTTCAAAAGTATAATAAATTATATTTATGGAGAACTATATTTTTTATCTACAGATCAATGTTACTGATTCCATTTATAAGTGAATTTTTACCTATTTCAAACTAATGATATCGGTGGAATAACACAATATATTCCATAAATTAGAACTTTAAATTTTAAAAAATATATTTATTTTTTACTTTTTTTACAATATAGAATTTGTTATTCTTCACTTGTGCGTTCTTTTTTCAACGCAACTTCTGTACTCTTATAAAATACAATATAAATTTGATATAGTTTTTGTTATCCCCAAAATCTTTAATGATTTAAGCTATTTAAAAACTCATAATAAATTTCACCGTAATAACTCTATTTAGGTTATGGTAAATAAATAATATGTTTGTAGTGTTTGACTATTAATTTCCCACTCACAACAATTTTATACGAAAAAATAATGTAGGATGCTAATTTTTTTAATTATATGTATTCAGAAGGGCAAAAGTAATAATTCATACAAAGCCACTTTTTCTTCTAAAGAAGTTGAATTTACTTTATTATGCTTCTCAATATCCTTAATGCACTTATTTAGTTCTAAGTAAAATTTATGTATCACATTTATCAAAATAAAGAGTAAAATCAAATTAAAACATTAATAATGGCGAAGAAATTTAAATGTCAGTTGAAGTCAACAAATCTTAAAAAAAGTAAAAAAGATTTAATTTTAACTTTCAAATAAAATTTATTCACATAATTTATTTATTTAAATAGTTAAACACAATAATAGCAGAATGTAAATAGGAGTAAGCAATTTCGGTACAGCGTAAAATTTCCAAACTGCTTATTTCACTTATAAGAAGCTTCATTTAAAAAATCATGGAAACTGAAGTTCGAATATGAAAAAAGAAGATATTAATAAAATAAATTTCTTTGTTGTATTTTTACCTGCTCCGCATATAACATCCGTATCAAAATTCAAATATAGATTCGAAGTATCACAATAACAAATTTATAATGTTATTTTTTTAACGAGAATAAGTAATGAATGCGTGAATTGTCAATGTGCACTTTTGAAATTATAGTAATTACACCTAAACAGTGTTTAACATAAAATACGTTAATACTTATAACTAAATAAGCGTTCAACATTATATCAGGAAATATGTAAAACAATAAATCAATTAGACTTATGGATATTCAATTTTTCTACATATGCGTTTGATTTCATATCATCACCTTTATCACTTCTTCAAAATAGTAAATTTACATAAAATTTCCTTACTTAACATTTAATTTCATACAGAATTTCCACAGAGAACTTCTAAATTTTAATACAGAAAAAAGCAAAAATGAATTTTACAAATAATCATACTGAATAAAAAATAAAAAAAATTTAATTACTTACTCAAGCCATCGAACTTTCGAATTATACTGTCAATAAATATATTTTGAGGAGCAACATGTCCTCTTTTCACTGGCATTTTAAAATAGGTTGTGAAGTTCTTTTCTCAGTGGCAAGAAAGAATGTATCCAAAAGTCACCATTTGAAAATTCATTTCGTCATAGTTGTAAATGTTTGCATCAAAGTTAATGGAATGTATAATTCAAGGCAAAATGGTGCATTAAAGGTTTCCGGAAGTTTCTAAACATCATGAGTTTATTTCAGAATCTACGTTTAAAGTGATCCCATTTTGTGCACTAATTATGCGATTTAGTTTGAAAATACATTATTTATGAATCTGATTTTTTATGTGCGTTACAAATATAATTTTGTGCAATAAAATATATATATATATCTCCAGCTATGTATAGCAAAGTGCTCAGCATTAACTAAGCTCTTAATGAAACTCTATCAGTCTAACTAACTATAAGTCTCAGACACGCATGTCAAAGCTCTGGTTAAATTGCTCATGAATTATTTAGCTTTAATTTATTTCAAAATGTTAAAATTTTCGGTCACTACGCTTGTTTGACAAAACTTACGAATTCTTTCCTTCAAGCAGTTCATTTAGAATTAATTATTTTAAAAAAAAAATGCATCATCCTCTCTCTCAGAATAAAAAATATTTGTCATTTTTCTACTAACCAATTAAGAAACCATTACTTTCTTAATTTTGAAAATGAATATTTCCTAACAAAATATTAAAAATAAAAATAATATATTGGAGAGTTTATATTTACTTTTCATTAAGTAAACGATAATGACGATTTCTTTAAGCAAACGATTTAAATCCGGAAGATATACTTCCAGATTTACGTGTGCTTAAAAGCAAGCTACAGTTCAAGCGATTCATTTAAATGGCATTTAATGTAAACTATATCAGGATCCCGGAGACTCAAATGTGCACCAGGTAGGTAAAAGCATGCTAACAATATTTTGTGCTTCATCAATTTAAAATCAAATTTATCAAAAGCATTATTTTAAAAAGCAAAACTCTCCTGAGGAAACAAGCATTCTTTCTGAAGAAAATACTTATCTGCATCATGGCAGCATTTGTCAAAAACGCCTCGTTTTCACCGACAACGTGAGCAAAGATGCCGCTCTGAGTAGAAGCGTCTGTTCTTCTCAGAAACTAAAAAGTATTTGTCACCGAATATAAACACACAAGATGTTCGGTGAAATCATTTGTGCGCGTATATGCTGCGCATCAATCGATTCAATGAGGTGTGTGGCAAACGATCTTTCCGAAAATCATTTTTCTTAAATTATTTTTCCAAGTACTTTCAAACTTGAGAAAATCAAACGATACTTCATTTATTTTAAATATTCGATTCGCGTCGTCATTTTAAGAAAAAGAAAATAATTTCAACACCTCTCTTTAAAAGCGAATAAATTTCCCGACTTCTTTTTCAGTTTCATTTTCCCCCTCGTTCTGATTTAATCCATTCCTTCATTTGCTGTGTAAGTTAAGAGAAGTCTTTTCCTTATAACATCACAGGAAGCGCAAGAGCTAAAACAAATAAAACCTTATCCCTTGCGTTTAAAAGCGCCATCTATGTCATTAAAGAGAAAATAAAAGAATGTTCACTCTAAACTTTTACGTGTGTATACTTTTGATCAGTTAAGGAACTATTTAAAGTCTTTCCGAGGAAAAACTCGTTATTATTCTAATATAAAAGAGTAAAATTCTATTACTGTGACACGCAAGTGGGATTTCGGGTTTTAATTCAATAATATGTGAAAGTTTCAAAAGAAGGTTGTTACAAGTATTTCTACCTCCAAATCTTGGAATATGTTATTTAAAAAAAAAGAACAGTAATTTCTAAATCAAATCCTATTTTAACAAATCTAACATTTAAAATATAAAAAAAATTTCCTATTTGCAACATAAAGAGTGTCAGATGATCCTGCTAAAGGTTATCAAAAATAATGTACACTGTAAAATGATGCACACAAAAAAATATAAACGGTGAATTCGCCGTAAAATGCCTTTTTACTGGAACATGCTATGGAGCAAAAATCTGACATACTGTTATTTTTCAGTAATAGTTACCGTAAAACCACCGAATCAATCTAATTAAATAAATATTGCTGCGAAAATTACGGTATAATATTTTACGGTGAAAATGGATAATAATTAAAACTTAAATGGACAAAATACTGAAGATGCATCCAAAGCGTCGGTATTTTAAACCGCAATTTGATCCGGAATTTTTTACAGTGTAGAATAGGGCTACAAAAACAAACATAAATATTTCAAGCCGAAATATAACATCTTCATTAGTTTTTATATAACATAACAATAAAACACTTTTTTCGTGTATAAAACAAGCCTTATTTTAAAAAGTATTATTAAGTTAATATCAATTATTAAAATAATAAGGATTTATTTCAATATTAAGTTTCACTTCCCTCATTTGAAATTACGGAACGCTCTGAAAGAAGGAAATATATCCATTTTTTTACTATTGATTTTTTTATTTCATATTTTAAGTTATATATACCATCTTGTAATAAAAAGTCCGATAAACAAACACTCCTTACGGGTTTACGAGAGCATGAAATTGCACTGAGAAAGAAAGTATGGTCAAAACTAACAGAACATGATACAATTTACCATGTTTTTGGCGGTATGGAAACATTAAAAACGTAGGTAAATTTTACAGAAACGCTTTGGTAGTGATTTTGGTAAAATTAACGATAAAACAATAACAATAAAATTTAAATATTGCTCTATAATCTGTGATAAAATATGGAAAATGTGGCAAAATTTAGTAATTTTATCATGATACCTTAGAGCATGGCATAAAACCCTATATTTGGTTAAATAAATGTGTGGTAATAAAAATTTTAATTTTGAAAGCTACTTGAATCTCCTATAAACTGCTATCATATGAACAGAAAAAAATATGAAACGAATGTTTTAAATTCCGTACATTTTGGTTTTTTTTCACGTAAATTATGGTTTTGTTTAACTAAAATGCTATTACCATACCGTACAGTAATTTTACCAGAAATGTTTCCCCCATGTAGAACTAATTGAGATTACGCTTGCAACAATATTCCAATTGGGATCAAACTTTCAGAAATTTTCCCAAGTGTGTCCATAACAAATCCATTTCGATTAAAAATATAAAATAGAAATCAACGCTTTTATCCAAAAAAGTATTCCTTAGGGTTCTATTTGTGTTGGTAGTAAAATACCTTAAAGGCATCGTAAAAACCACAAATAAAAAATTCGATGGAATTAATATAATATTTCGATTTATTAGTGCCAGCAATGATACTTTTTTAAAGTACCGAATAGACAGTCTGTCTTTTAAACTTGTTAAATTGTGCTTTTCCCATTAATACTAAGCTATTCATTTTCAAATTATAGTTCTAAAAAAAAGTTTTATAGAGACTCAATTTGAAATTTTTGAGAACTGTGCAATGCCTATTATACAAGTTTCATATTTTCAAATATATAATAATCCCTAATTATTTAATTGTTTCATGTAATTTTAACTGGATACAAATATTTATAATGTAGCTATGTTTCTCTAAAATATGATAAAAGTCTTTACATAATAATTTCTTCTTAAATCTTAAGTCGAAATAAGAGCTATTTTCAGAATTTATAAAAGAAAAGAAAAATACGAAGTGCTTTTTTAATTATTTAAAAGAATTTATTTTACCCTTTGAAAAAACTGAATTCAGAATTGGTTTGAAATAAGATCCATATAACATTATAACTATAATAGTAACGTGTAAAACTACTATAGTTCTGGATCTTATTTATAATCTATATGGACTCCGAGTTAGGTTAATATTTTCTTTAATGATTTTCTTTTTCATTTTACCATTCGTTATATAGTGATAAGTATCAACATTGGTTACACACCAATTTATAATTTCAGTTAAATTATAGTTCAAATCTTAATTTTCTCATAAAAATATTTTTTGTAGTGAAATACGAGGTACATGCATAAAAAAATTATGTTTATTTGTAAGGATATAAAATTTGAAATAGCGTTATTATAGTATTATAATTATTAAAATTATAATTATTAAAATTATTAAGATGCTAATGTCTTGAATCGTTAAACTAATACTTTGGCTATAAAACATTTTTATCTAATTCAATAATTAAAAACATTGATCTGCAGTATCCCCTCAATAAATTTTCTTTTTACTCTTTTTCATCTTGCCCTCGACAACACGATAAAGATCCTACAATACTGTTTATAAAATATTTTGGTTTTTAAATTATAATTATTATTAAAATATTTAGTTTATTAAATTAGATAATTATTAATTTAATTAATTATTATTAAAATATTACATTTATGTAAAAATTATTAAGTGAATTATGATTAATAAATAATTTAAGTTTCATTACACTGACGAAAAATGCACTATAAAAAATTTCGGATCAAATTACAGCAAAAAATGCTGGCACTCAGGGTGCTGAAACGTTTTAGCATAAAATCTATTTTACCAAAACATGTTAAGGAATGAAGAAATCTGTTATACCGTAAATTTTACAGTAGTAATTAGCGTAAAATCACTGAATCTCTCTAATTAAATAAATATCACTGTAAAAATGACGGTATAATATTTTACGGTTAAAATGGATTTTACAGATGATGCAGGCAAAGTGCAGGTGCTATATTCCGTAATTTGATCCGGAATTTTTTACAGTGCATCAGTTGCATTTAAAAATAATTCGAATTTTTTGTTTAAAAAGTTTCTACCATGATTATTTTGCTTGAACTATTTTCATGAATTAAATTTCATGTATTATGAAAACAAACAAAGGCTATAGGAAGTCTTGATGTCCTCCTCTGACGCCATAGCAGAACGTTACTATTTTTTTTCCAAGTCATTACTCTTTTATATATTATTCCATTGAATTCGGAGAAATTTGTAATTTAAACATCTTAATTTCAGATAACAAATTGGTGCTTCAACTCATAGTGCATCTAAAGGCAGAACAACTACCGAAACTTGCAAACGAATTTTTTGCCATGGAAAACAATAAATTTCACTAAAAAAATTGTCGAAAGATGATGTAAACTTTAAAAATAAAAAAAATAGAAATCAATGCAAGCGAATCTTCTACCGGAAGTTGAAACAACCTCTGCAAATACTGTCCTTACCGTTAGAATAAAATCAACACCCTTGACACAAGTATTATAAAAATAATTTTTCCATATTTAATCTTTTAGTGAACTTTAAAAATTACTGATTACAGCCTAGTAAAAAAAGAATTAAGCATTTTATGAATTGACAAGAAGGAAGACCATAAGTTATACTAGATATTTACAAAAAAAAATTTAACTACGCTCAATAAAAGACATGCGATTGAAATTATATTATTTGATAATTTTTTCTTTCACCACTGAAAAAAAGTTTGTTCGAAATAATAATGAAGTTATTAATGTAGAGGAGGGCATCAATGGAATGTAAATGTCAGCAACCTGACGATCAGGTATAAAATAAAGAGTGAACAAAAATTATGCTTAAACACGGCAAAAGAACTTACCATTTAATTTTATTTTATAACCAGAGTTGAACAGCGACTACCAGTGTTCAATTCGACAGCCTTGTAATTTTGAGCCCGATCCAAAAGATAGGGGAACTCCTGGATCAAGCATTGGGAAGAACTAGCCTTCAAGGAGGGCGTTTTGATGGAACTAACCAGCATTTGCGTTACACGAAGAAGAAAGCCACGAAAACCTCCCAAGGTTAGCCTAAAGTCAAGAGGGCTCTAGCTATTGACTGAGGTCTACTGCTGAGAATATTTTACGTCAGCACTGTGGTCAGTTAGAGCGGGGTGCGGAATTCGTATTGTCTAGTCATCGCAGAAATTCAAATCAGAAAAACTTACCATATAAAGACTTGGTATTAAAAAAATACAACCTTCCGTTTAATTATCATAGACAAGAATGACAAAATCGAAATTTAAAAACATCAAAACTGCCTTCAATAGTTAATAGAAGTAAACATACTATGTGCTCACGAAAACATGTGTTCACGGCAAAAGTAAAAAGTTTTCTTTTTTATAAATATAATAAAAAAGAAAATTATTTACTTTTATCGTGAGCTCATGTTTTCGCAAATTATTTTCCGAAAAAACAATAAAACCGCAGTAAAAAAAGAATAACTAGACGATATTTAAATCATAGTATTATTTTAATAAAGTAAAATCTGGTAGTTTACTCAATTAAACATAAATTGATGCAAATTTTAATAATTAAGAATGAAAAAATATTATTTAATCATAAATACTGTGTTGAAATAAAAATCAAATACACATTCGAATGCCACTTTGTCAAAAAAAAATTCCAAGTTTGATATTACTACTTTTTTATTTATTCATCATGAAATATGCTATATTTGAGATTCAACATTTGAAAGTCATTTCAAATTATTCTATTTAAATTTAAGATAATTGTAAATATTTAGAATATTAAACACATGAATGTAATTACTTGAATAAACCTTTTTGAGAAAAAAAATAAAAAGCTTAAACAAAGAACATTACACCTAATAATTTTCTCAACTTTTACCCCGGCATAAAATGCAATTCTACCATACTGTTACTCGATAAGATAATCACAAGTTTAAACAAATAAACTACCAGTTCGTTTGAATATACAGTACCTAATACAAAATAAACTTCACTATGCTAATTCGTTTGTACATGAATCAGCAAAAAATTAAA